TGAATCGGGACGGACTCCATAGTACTTAACAACAACAACAAGTCTTTGTGGGAGCAGAAAGCCTCATCTTTCTCCCACAAAACATCTGGTGGACTCAAACTGCTGCCCTTGTGGTTAGCAGCCCAATTCATAATCCACTATGCTACCCATGGTGGTGGTAGTGACGGTAGTGTAGAGGTGGTGATGGTGGTAAAGGTGGTGGAGGTGGTGGTGGTTTGGTGGAGGTAGAGGTGGAGGTAGAGGTGGAGGTGGAGGCAGAGGTGATGGAGATGGTGGTGGTTTGGTGGAGATGGTGGTGGTGGTAGAGGTAGTGTTGGTGATGATGGTGGTGATGGTTGTGTGCCATGGAGTTCTGACTCATAGCAACCCTGTATAGGGTTTCCAAGGAGCAGCTGGTGGGTCTGAACTGTCGTCCTTGTAGTCCAGTCCATTGTCCTACAGCACCACATCAGGACACCAGGGATTGCAGAACACTGATGGAGATGTGATGGGGTTACTTATTGTTAATAGGTGACGCAGGTGGTTTGGCTTCCTCTTCTCGGAAGCCCCTGTAGTAGAAATTTCACGCCCACTTCACAGTCACCCAGCTACCCCATTTATGCTTGTCCCTTCACCTTAGCCTGGTTGGTGCCAGACCTTTCCCCATGGTACCACTGGATGTGTTCAAACCGTCAGCCTTTTTGTTAGCAACAAATAGCAAACCACTTGTGCCACCCAGGGATTGGATGAGGGATGAGGGGGTGAATAAATCCGTTTCCTCACCATCCACCCCATGGAATACTTAGAAGCAGCTTCTCCAGTCCCACAGCTGCCCTGGGACATGCCTCCTAGGGACACATCCATCACTGGCTTTCTCCTTCCCAGTCTCATTTCCCTATTCCCTCGGGTGCTTCCTGGGACCACCATTCATATAAGCTATCCTTTCTGATTCTTGTCTCGGTGTGCTCTTGGAGGGACCCTCATTGCTTGCACAATCTTCATTACAGCGCTTGGGAGGCAGGTGGTTTTACTTCCACTTAACTGATGATGCCGAGAAACCAAGGCCTGGAGAGGTTGCCACAAAAGCTGCGTCAAAAGGTGGTCGAACGCCATGCTCTTGACTCACATATATGTATGCTCTTTCCCCCACAGTTTTCCTGGGTGACTCCCAAATTCCTGTCTGATACAGGGAAGAACACTCAGTTGCCTCAGTGTCCTGGGTAAAAGCCAGAGAGGAAAGACATCTTTTGGAACTGAGTGCTTGTGTCGCTGGAGTCCATTCAGAAGGTCAGCAGTGGATTTGCTTAGAAGAAACCTTGCCCTTTGATTAGAGCTATTGGACATATTATCAGGAGGGACCAGTCCTTGGAGAAGGACATCATGCTTGGTAAAGTGGAGGGTCAGGGAAAAAGAGGAAGACCCCCAGTGAGATGGATTGGCACAGTGGCAGCAACAATGGGCTAAGGCTTGGCAACAATTGTGAGGATGGTGCACGACCAAGGCAGCATATCATTCTGTTGTGATATGAGTTGCTATGAGTTGGAACCAACTCGACAGAACCTAACCGCAGCATTGCTACTTGGTTGGGCCATGGGAGCAAGAAGTGGTTTCAGTCCCTGTGGATAAGATATTATGGAAGGATTAACTGGAACCTTAGTTGTTCCCAGGGCCAAGACCATCAAGAAAAGTCACAGAATCCTGGTCATCCTGAAGTCCTCCTGGCTAGCTGAAACCTTTCTATTACAAACGGGGAAACTGAGGTGTACATTGAGGGATGTCTTTAAAGTTCCCAGATTGGTGACAAGGAGATTAGGATCTGAGAGAAAGCAGAGGAAGTAAGAGCTATTGGAATCATGTGCTGCTAAACTCAGGAATCCAGGAGACCTTAGAAGTTAGGAATCACATGGTTGGGCTCAACTGATGGTTACTCCAGACGCAATGAGGTTTCTCTCTACAAAAAAATGTAAAGCATCTTTTAAACATTTTCATGTGTCCAATTTAGTGACACCAACTACATAAATCATGATGTGCAACCACGAACAAACCCAAAGCATTGTTAAATTGTAAGACTTACTGGATTCTTTAACACAAAAATTTACCTTAAAGTAACTTAGGTATGCAGAGTTTGCCACTCTTACTTGAACACAGAAAACTTGTTTTATGGCTCTCGTGTTGTGCAAAGCACACCAGACGGGGCAGTGTCTGAAGATCTTTCAGCTTTCAAGTGCTATACAGCATTTCTATGGCAAACCACACTTACAACCACATTTTTTTTCCCTCTTCTTTTTGTACTTCTTATCATTAGCAATACAAAGGGGTTTCAAAACACTCATGGAAAAAAAATATCCATTATCTTTTTATTTCAGTTTTCCATGAATTTTTGGAAACCCCCTTGTATGTTCTTTTGCATATAACATTGCAGTACGTAATTTGTTGATGTCATCTTATCTGTACCTTTCTATGTTTCCAACCACAAAAGACAAATAAAGATCAGATTTTAAAAGATACTGATAATAAAAGGCAGTAATAATGAACACGGTCAGCAAAGAAAAAGAAGAGCTATTTGATTTATTGGAAAACCGATTTATGATGGAGTGAGTCATCAGAACGGAACCCTGTCTTAAGTCTTGGGACTACCTGTAATTCTTTATCAGTTTCCTTTGACAATAGAATTCTATAGAGCACATCATCATCACCCATTAGCTCATTTTAGTTCTCTCTATGGACTTGTGGTTGGTGTTTAACCAGAGCTTTTAAATGACTCAAAGCAAGAAGCAATGTTGGGTCATTTCTTTAGTAGGGCATTTCAAGATAAATCAATTGGATTGAAAATAGCTGAACCCATTTGTTCCTTCGGCCCAGACTAGGTTATTTTGGTTAATTTGTGACTGTCTAGATAGCCAATTGGCAAACTGGATGCAGTGGACAACCTTTTTTTTTTTTTTTTTGGGGGGGGAGGGGGCATGGTCTTTGAGGACATAGCTGCTAGATTACAAAAAAGGATCCTCATCTGAAATTGTTAAATAGCCAAATCCTGCTCAGTGTCCTAAACTGTGTGAATGATTGAACTCTGGGACAAGCATGGAGCAAGGTTGGCATGGTCCAATATGCAGACTGGTACACTCTCAGAAGATATTATTTTTGATTCATAGTGACCCCATGTGACAGAGCAGAACTGCCCCATTGGGTTTTCTAGGTTGTAATCTGCATGGGAGGAAATTGCCAGGTCTTTCTCCAGCGGACCCGCTGGTTGAGGTCTAACTGTCTATCTCTTGGTTCTAGGCTGAGTAAATGTAACCAAGTCCAAACAATTATCCACACTGGGGCATCGTTGGTGGAGGTCCTCACTTGAAAAGCTCCTGTCTATCTATTGCCAACCAACCAATCCCCAGGCACCCTGGCATCCCTGTGCCCTCTGGGTCTGTTCACCCCAGCAGTGGATCAAAAGGGCAAGCTCAGGAGGACTTTTGTTTCATATAACTTAATGAAGAAGGAAGTGGGGGCTATAGCTATCTTCCCTTTTAGGATGCTGGCTCCCTGAGACCAGAGGGGTGGAATCCTGGATGGGGGTGGTAAGGCATCAGGAGAAGGATTGGAGCAGACTCTATGCGTGTGTGTGTGTGTGTGTGTGTGTGTGTGTGTGTGTGTGTGTGTGTGAATGTGCGCGCGCGCACGCGTGTGTCGGCGCGCTTTGCGTGGAGGGGCGATTGCTGTACCCTGCGCGAGGCACTGGGGGAGGAGGAAGCGGTAGCACAGATCTGAATAATTGATTCTTCAGCCGCACCAGACGCCCGGGAGCGGGCGGAGAGCTTGGTTCCAGCGCCACCGACAGCGGCGCGCGCCGCTGCAGGGCGCCCCCTCCGCCAGCCAGCTACCTAGCCTGGCCCTGTCGCCTTCGTGCGCTCCGAGAGCGAGTGACCGCGCTTCGCAAGGCTGCCGAGGGACTGCGGGGTCTGCCTCCGCCCGCCTCCAGGGAGGGCTGCTGCGGGTGGAGACGCTTTCGCCCGCCGTAGCTCGGAGCAGCATCTCCGACTGGCGCGGGGGTTGCTGCGTTTCGCCCGCGGAGAACAAGTCCCCAAGTTGGCGTGGGGGGCGCCCTGCCTCCTATTCCTCAGAGACGACTGCAGCGGGAGCATCGTGCTCAGAACCGGGGCGGCCAGGCGTTTTCCAGTCTCCCGCCGGGAAGTGGGGAGCCGAACGCCGGGCGCGGAGCTGGCTCCGCTGCGACGGGCCCAGGGGGAGCTGTCTTTCCCCGCCCGCGCCCGCGTTTCTCACGGCCGTGGACCGCGGGGATCCCCGACCACACGCACGCGCGCGCTTCCACACTCACTCACCACACGCTCGTCTTCACACACACCAGCCCAGAGCAGGGGCTGCGGAGGGAGCGCCGGGGTGCGCTCAGAGGTTGTCCCGAGTAGGGCAGGACGCCGAGCTCCGGCTTCTGGAGGGAGGTGCCGGGAGCTTAGCCCGAGTATGGGGCCCGGCGCACACTGAGAGTCGTGGCCGCAGCCAGCAGCCCTGGAGATGACCAGGAGCGGCCACTGCTGAGAACTATGTGGAGAGAGGCTGCGGTGAGTGCTGGCGCGGGACGCGCGGCCTGGGCAGCCCTCTCGGAGCGGGGGCAGTGGGAGGCCTTGGTAGGAAGGGGCGGCAGGACGCCAGAGGGTCTCTGCGTGGGAATGATCGCACCTCCCTCGGGGATCCGGGACCGCGGGAGCCCTCGTCCTTCCCTCCCCCTCTCCTCCTGTCGGCTCATCTCAAACTCAGCCAGCGTCTCCCCAACCCCCCAGCCCCCATTCTTCCTCCTCCGTCTCCCTCTCCACCCTGAGCTCAGTGCCTCCCGACCATACAACTCCCAGCAGCTGGTTCTGGGGAGGTGGTAGGGGGCGAGGGTGGATGTGCCCAGTTAGCTTTCCGTGGGTGGCCAACCTGGGGCTCCCGTTGCCCTGTGCGCCCCGGAGTGGAGCTCCCCATATTGGTCGTAGGGTCTGAGGATCCGCACTGGGGGCGCCGCTGGCACAGAGCTCCAGCTTGCCCTCTCCGGCGGGGCCCCTTGGGCGCTCGGGAGAAGGGGTCTGTATGCGTTGCATACTGCAGTCTACCCCCCAGTCCCTTCCCCCACGCCTGTGGGCTGACTCAGTCTCTCGGTCTTTTCTGTGCTCTGGTAGAGCCCTGCTGCAGAGCCTCCGGCTGGGATAGCCGCCCCCTGTGGGGGCGATGCGGACAGCGTGGGACAGTCAGGGGAGCGCGCGGGGGCCGCAGCATGCGGGAGTCCGCTAAACCTGGTGGCTGCTGAGGCGGCCGAGATGCTCGTGCGCAAAGCGCGCCTCACCGCATCCTCGACCTTCGGCTACAGGTACGTCCCAGCGGGAGACCTGGGCTCCTCGGGCCAGGGAGGAGGGGTGCTGGGATGAAGGGAGAGTGGAAGAGGGATCCGGAGAGAGAGGGAAAGAGCCAAGGGAGAGGGAGCACCGGTAGCGAAGCGCTACAGGAGCACCAGGGGGCGCTGCGGCTCCGTACTTCTCAGAGCTTACACCTAGAGCGCCGAGGCTTGTGTGAGTTCTTCCCAACTTCCCAGGCTCCAGCAGCGCCCGGCCCAAGAGGCGCGCGCCTGTGCACACGTGCACGTCTGTGCTGGCATTTGCAGGCACGCGTGGCTGTGCACCTGGCGCGGTACATATGTGTACCCCGCCTGAAGACGTGTGCGGACTCCGAATGGCCGTGGGCACTGCTACAGCGGCCTGCGGCTGTGCGAAGAAATGCACGCGTTCTTGTGAGCGTGTGCAATCCACTGCCCACGTGCACCTAAGAATTGGTGGTGGGCCCTGCAGTGGAAAGCCGGGGAGGGGCTGCACAGTCCACGTCGGGTTGAGAGCTTCTTAGGAGCCTACCTTTCACCTCACGCACGTTCTTTGGCAGCTCCCAAGCGCCGGCCCTCAGGGGACGCGCCTTCTCTCTAGAATTCTGCATTGCACTTGGCACGCGTTTGACCGGGTGTATGTGTATTGCGCGTGTATGCAAGCGCGCGTGGAGGGGACTGGTCCTGGAGCTCTTGCATTTGAGTGGAAGCGCTTCAAAGCCCTCTGCACAGGGTGTGGCGGACCTTATGTTCCTCCCTGGGCCACACCAGTGAGCGTCTCCTCTCCCAACCGCCAGTGGGGTAGACTGCAGGGGAGGAGCTGGGGTCTGCTATGGGGCGGGGCGGGGTGGAGTTAGGCTCTTGGTGCCTCCTGGGGGTTGGCAGCGGACTGAGATGGGGATCTGGGCGCTGCCTCCGCGCTCCTGATCTGGGTGTTGTACGTTCGCTCCGCTGGAGTAGGGGTCGGGTACATAACTTGGTCTGTGCTGGAGGGCACTGGTGGCCAAGGGGTAGGTGAAGGGTTAGCTATACACACCTAGGAGCTGGCTGGGCTTCCAGGCTCCCTCAGCTTTCTGGGGATGGAGTCAGCAGCTAACTTGGGGTTCCATTGGGGGCGGTGGGCAGAGTTAGGGATGAGGAAGGGCCAGGATTCCAGGATGTGTTTGGGGACCAGAATGAGGGATTCCCTAGGACTGAAGTTGTGTTAAGGGGTGTGGGTTGCATCAGGGCTGGGGAATGACGTCAGAGACATGTTCAGCCCACTCTGGAAGTAGCTCACACCTGATTTCTGGAGCGGGGGTGGGGCGGGAACCCTTTCCTTCGAGGCTCCTGGCTCATGGTGGCCCTGTTTCTTCTCCCCAGGGACCTTCAGTGGCGACTATGGGCAGACTGGGCTATTGGACCCTGCTGGTGTTGCCGGCCCTTCTGGTCTGGGGCGGCCCCGCGCAAGGTGCAGCGGCAGAGAAGGGGCCCCCAGCGCTGAACATCGCGGTGTTGCTGGGTCACAGCCACGACGTGACGGAGCGTGAGCTGCGGACCCTGTGGGGCCCCGAGCAGGCGGCGGGGCTGCCCCTGGACGTGAATGTGGTGGCGCTGTTGATGAACCGCACGGACCCCAAGAGCCTCATCACACACGTGTGCGACCTCATGTCAGGGGCTCGCATCCACGGCCTGGTGTTCGGGGACGACACCGACCAGGAGGCCGTGGCCCAGATGCTGGATTTTATCTCCTCCCAGACTTTCGTTCCCATCCTGGGCATCCACGGGGGCGCCTCCATGATCATGGCTGACAAGGTAAGGTAGCGAGACCCCATGGACCACCAAAAGGGCATCCACAGCCGGACCTTGACGTCCAACTTGAGGAGGGTGTCTGTCTGGTGGTCATTGTTCCTGTTGACAACCAGGACCTGCCTCCTCAACCAGGAAATGAATGGAAATGTCTTTTTGCTCGGGAAGTCAGGTACTCGGTCACCCAGGGTTTGCCACGTAGTGCGCAGATGTATGAGGGTATGTGAACTTCTCCGGCTCATACCCTGGTCAATTGAAACAATATGGCACCTATTCCTATAATGCCCGTTTTACTTGACTGTTTTGAGGGAAGATGTCCATTCCCCCACTCTTGTGATGGAAGCTATTTAAAAAATTTTAAATGTGGTTAAGTCATGGAATAAACTACACAGTTTTAGGGAAAGCATAAAAGGGTAGACAGATGACCTGCTTCTGCTTCTTTTCCTCAAGACTCTGCAGTTAGGGGAGCAGAGGGGGAAAGTTCCAGAAGCCCTGAGCAGGAGGAAGGCAGGAGGGGCTGGTCTTTGAAGGCATGGGTGCTGGGTGGGGTGGGGGTGGGGCGCCGAGTGAATGTGACATCAGTGGCTTCGTTTGTCCCTCTGTGCTCCTTGCATGGAGCTGGCGTTTGATGATGGGTCACCAAAGCTTTGGAATTGAAGGGCTAACTCCCAGCTTTGGCTTTGGGAATGAAAAAAGGGTCTCCAGATCTCTTCTGAGAGAGACAATAGGAGAACCAGGTTTCAGAATTGGACTGAAGTTGATGGAAGGACGTTTGGAAGGGATGAATGGGAAAAAAGGAAAGACTTGGAGGTGTGGCTGCACAGTGCCTCTCTGGAATCCCAGGAGAGGACTGGGGGTCCCCCTTCCTGTGAGGAGGGCTAAGAGGGCTTGTGTGTCACGGTCCCTGAGACCTTCTTGGAGAGAGTTCCCTAGACAGCAGGATATGCTGACATTTTTTAGAACACTTTGCTTCTGACATCTCAAAACACTTCTCTATTCATCAAATCGGATTCTACCTCTGCCTCAGCAATTCCCACCAACTCCCTGGGGACCTGTATTAATTCTTGCAGGTCTCAGGGGCTGCAGCACACTCAGCCGGAGTACACAGCCGACGCAGTAGTTTATTAAACATTCATTTTCAGTGGTTTTCAGCCCTGCAGAATTCCCAGTTTTGGGGGGTGCTTTTCTGAGCTGTAGAAAGTATGGGAAAGCTTTGCCTGCCAGCAACTTGTAGGACAGGACCTTCTTGTTGACTGGATCATGTTGTAACTTTCAGATGACATGGCTAAGCCACAGAGCAGAGGCTCAGCCAAGACCCTCAGTGGGAGAAGCAGTGAGATCTCAGGTTTTCATTGCTTATGTTGTGATCTTCTTGTTGGGTGCTGTTGAGCTGATTTCGATTCATAGCTACCTCTGTGGCAGAGTAGAACTCCTCCATAGGGTTTTCGTTGGTGTCATCTTTAAGGAAAAGAGCCCTGGTAACACAGTGGTTGAGTGCTTGACTGCTAACATAAAGGTCAGTGATTCAAACCCAACCAGCCCTCACTGGGAGAAAGGTGTGGTAGTCTGTTACCACGGCAGCCATGGAAACCCTGTGCAACAGTTTTCCTCTGCACTGTAGGGCCTCTAGGAGTCAGAATCAACTTGATTTGGCAACAGGGTTTTAAAAATCTGTATGGTAACAGATCACCAGGTGTTTCTCCTTCTGAGCCACTAGGTGAATTCGAACTACTAGCCTTTCAGTTAGCAGCCGCGAGGGCTCTTTCCATTTCACCAGAGTAAGCCTTAACTCTGTTATCCCCATCCAACGATAGACAGGAATTCATAGCATCTTTTAGGAGCTACTAAACTTGGAGAGGTGCCTAGGAGCGAGATTCCCTGCAGAGGTGGGCCAGCCTGCTGAGAAAGAACAGAGACCACACGTTTCCAGAAGGGTGTGGAGCATCGTTTGGGATCTAATTGCACTAAGGTTTTGACTGAAGGAGCAAACACAACGCCATTTTGGTTTGTTTTCTGTTTCCGGCACTCTAGTTGATTTCGACTCATTGCAACCCCATGTGTGTCAAAGTAGAACTGTATTCCATTGGGTTTTCATGGACGCATTTTTCAGAAGTAGATTTTCAGGACTTTCTTCTTAGGTGCCTCTGAGAAGACTTGAGCTGCCAACTTTTTGCTTAGTAGCTGAGATCGTTAATCATTCGAACCATCCAGAGACTGAAAAAATAGTAACATTTTCCATTGTTGCAACATGCCATCGAGTTGATTTTTCATTTGTAGTGGCCCCATGTGACAGAGAAGAGCTGCCCCATAGGGTTTTCTAGGCTGTCATCTTTACGGAAGCAGAATGCCAGGTCTATCTCCCGCAGAGGTGCTGGGTGGATTTAAACTGTCAACCTTTCAGTGAGCAGATGAATGAGTCCACCATCTAGGAACTCAAAAATAAAAGGGCAATTTCTGGTCAAACAAGGGCTTAGCGAACAAGTGGATAAATCTGGTAAAAGCTGAGGTGGAGAAGGTGGCCAGAGGCTCAGACTGGGAGGATTGAACAGGTCTCTGGCCCTTACTCCTCTAAACTGGCTTGAGCTCTCTCCTGACTTACCTGGTATTCTCTTGTGGCCAGAAAAGCAGCAACAGAGAGTAGATTCATAGATGAGCATCCCTTGGTTTGCAGTGTCCCTGCCTTTGAGTCTTGATCCCCCTCTGTCAGGCTCTAACCCACTAGACAAGCCATGCTTCTGTCCTGGAACGGTGCAATAGCAAGAGAGCTGTGAGAAAGCTAGGGAGTAGTAATGTGCAAATTCCCTTCTCTCGTATGGAGGTATGATCTTTGATGGGGATACTAAGACGAGTTATACTCCATTTAAGTGTAAGAAAGAACATACAATTCTGGGAATGCAAAGAGTTAAGACAGTCAAGATTAGAGAGATTTAAGAGAGCATGGAGAAGAGAGGAATGAGGGTTTTCAGAGTGGGTCTTAAACAGATGGACCTCTTCTGATCAAATTATAGGAAGTTGAAGGCAAGATGAAGGAGTCCTGGTGTTAGCTTTCTGTAAGTACAAAGTTGGTGGCTTGAAGCCATCCAGTTACTCCTCAGGAGAAAGACCTGCCGATCTCCTGTAAAGATTTCAGCCTGGAAAACCCTACCGTGCAGTTCTCTGTCCCACGGGGTGCTGTGAGTCGAAATCAACTCCAACAAGGCCAGGTGGTCAGGGATCCAGCTAAGATACCGTTGGGGTGTATGTGTGCTCCCCTTGTATGGAATGTACAGGTGATATTGAGAGGAGGTGGGGTAAAGGTGGGTGTCTTGAGAAACTTGTGGGTGTGGAAGGAGGAAAGCCACTGTCTGCCTGTGAACGCCCCTTTCTTCCACTAGTGATACATCTCCGTAGCTTGTGCCTTTGGTACTTTTGTTTCTGTGAGAGAGGAATGTTGAGTGAGGTGTGTTGGCTTTGAAGTAGCAGTCATGTGACCTTCTCTCATTCTCCTCATTTCTTGGGAGAGCCAAAAAGGTGTTAAGGTCTCAGAGTCTGAATCACCCCAAAGTGATGAGGCCCCTGTGCCTCTTCTTTTTCTCTCCCTAAGATGATGTTGTCCTCATAAAGGCTAGCACACACCTGTGTTGCTTTGCCGTTGAAATTGGTGATCTCGTGAGTAATGTGTTATTGTTGTTAAGTGCCGTCGGGTCGGTTCTGACCCATAGTGGTCCTGTATAGAGTTTCCGAGGAGTGGCTGGTGACTTTGAACTACCAGCCTTGTGGTTCAAACTGACTTTGCAGTCCACTGCGTTAACCCACAGTGCCATACATCAAGTCAATTTCAATGCATAGCACCCCTACATGATAGGGTAGAACTGCTGCCCCATAGGGTTTCCTAGGAAGTCCTGGTGTGGTGCTGCCAGATAATGTACTGAAACACAAGGTTGGTTTGAACCGCAAGGTCGATGGCTCAGATTCACCAGCTACTCCTCAGAAATCCTATACAGGGTCGCTGTGAGTCAGAACCTACTCGATGGCACTTAACAACAACAATCCTTATAGGAACAGATCTCCAGGTCTTCCTCCTATGAGGCTGCTGGATGGGTTCAAACCTCAAACCTTTCAGTTAACAGCTGGTTGCTTAGACTGTTGCACCATCCAGTTTCTTCCTTGGATAAAACCAAAAAAACATAACCCAACCCATTGGTGCTATGGGTTAATGCACTAGACTGCAAAGTTGGCTTGAACAGCAAGGTTGGTGGTTCAAGCTCCTTGGAAACCCAATACAGGGGCATTACGGTTGGAACAGACTTGATAGCACTCAACAGCAACAAATAGGTTTCCCAGGCTGTAAATGTTCATGGGAGCAGAACTGCGTTTGTACTGCGGACCTTGCAGTCCAGTGCTTATCCTACAATGCCACTTCCTTGGATAAGAGTTGTAGGTAATTTGATTGTCAGTTAACACACACACACACACACACACACACACACATATTTTCACCTTTTCCCTCAGTCTACTTGACCCTTGAAGAAAAGAACAAAGCTTTGCTAATTGAATGGTGTTAAGCAGCAGAGTTTCAGGGTGTTAATCCAATTTACAATGAAGATGTTAATTTTTTATTGCATCAGTGGGTGGTCTTGCATATAATTAAGTCAGAAGAGAAAATAGTACTTGATGTAGATACACTATTTTTTTCTGGATTTGGCTATTTGGACCCATCCTGTGAAATCCTTCCAGGTTGTTGTAACTTCCCCATGTCAACCCAGCGAATGGATTAGAATTTCTTGTTTCTGCTCCAAATCCTTGCCTTTCTATCTCTTTCTCCATGTAATACCTAACTGCTCCGTAGGGGAAAAGGGAAATCTTAGATTTTAGTGACATTTATCCATGGCATTTTTGGACGTATGGTGTGGCGCTGTAGGACCAGCACTGGACTGTGAACCACAAGGTCGGCAGTTCAGACCCACCTGTACAGGGTCACTATGAGTGGGAACCAACTCAACAGGGCGTAACAACAACAGCATCCA